GCTTGTAAAGTGAGGATTTGGGGGTTTAAAGTTTGGATCTTTGGGCGTCAAGATCATCTTTTGGGCTAAAAGATATTGTGGGAGTATCAGCGAAACAATTTAAGCACACCCATTTGAAGATGTTTTTTCCAGCTTGATGGGTATGTTTTAGATGGTATCTTTGAAATTGGGTGTCGCTGATTTCCAGTCTTTTCTATGCCTTTGATTCTTTGATAACCATACATGGTGGGCTTATGAATGAATGTTTTATGTTTGAGTTAAGTTGCACCCATCTGAGACATGTCTTTAATGTTTTGATAATCTGTGAGCACTGGAGCTCTTCAGACTGCTGCATACTCTAGCTTCTGAGATTTTATTTTTGACCAAAACAAAGGAGTTTCATTCATCAAAATCCTAGCTTCTGTGATTTGTGTTTCCTTTTAAGGTCTTTTATTTTTCAGGAATGGGTATGGCTGTGGCTTGCAAATTTTGCATTTGGAGGTGGTGGGGACCTACGATTGTGTTTTCCTTTGAGAATTTGATTGGCACAAGAGATTCAGGCAACTCCGACTTTTAGTGTGTTATGTGTTGAGGTTAAAACATAGACTAGTTTATTTTGTTAACCCCATATTGAGAAAATGGGTTGTGTTGCGTCAAGGATTGACAAAGAAGAGAGGGTGCAGGTATGTAAGCAGAGAAAAAGGCTGATGAAAAAACTGGTGGGGTATAGAGGAGAATTTGCGGATGCTCAACTGGCTTATTTGAGAGCATTGAAGAATACTGGTGTCACTCTTAGGCAATTTACCGAGTCAGAGTTGCTGAAGCCTGAAAATACCTCTTATGGCCTGAGATTGCCTCCCTCTCCACCTCCCCCATTGCCTCCTTCCCCTCCACCACCTCCTTTTAGCCCTGATTTGAGAAAGGCCAATGAAACTAAGATGGAAGAAGTTGCCAAAGAAGACATTATAGAGATTAATCAGGATGACTGTTGTACTCCACCACCAGTTCTGAGTTCATCATTGGATTTTTGGGATCCTTTTGGGTCTTCATCGCCTCATCATCATCAAGAGAAGAGTGAAACAGTGGAACCTATTGATGAGGAAAATTGGGCTGAGACCAAGGCAGAATTTGAAGAGGATGACCGTGAGGAGGAAGTTATTGAAAATATTGATGTAAGTACTCTCCCTGAGAAGCTCCAGCGTGGAAAAGTTGTTGATGGTAAGTCATCAATGACGAGCAGCTGGTATGCTAAAGAAACTGCAGATATGCCCATGGTAGTATGGAGGAGCAAAATTACTTTGGAGGGTATTGTTAAGAAGCTTGATGACTATTTCTTGAAAGCATCAGCTGGTGGAAAGGAAATCACTGTTTTTATGGATATCAATCCAGGGGATAATTCTTTTCCGTGGAATTACAAAGAACACAAAAGTAAGAACAACATTTCAACAATTATGTATTTTGTGGCACCAAGGTTTTTTTATTCAAGGAACTAGAGTAGGAAGTTCTATTTAATAATTATCATCATTCTGTGTCTATGCATGTTAATGTCATAGACCACTTGTGGGCGGTTTATATTACCATATCATTCATAGCTTTAGTTTTAAGGCTTTCTTGGAAGTTGTCCTAACTTTTCAGCCCACAGGAAAGAGGAGCAGTTCTACAAATGTTTTTAGTGCCTTGTCCTGGAGTCGGTCTTCTAAGTCACTTCAGTTTACAAGAGATGCTATTGCTCGTGGGTCAAGTGAACCATGCAGGCCGGGAGCTCATTGCATTACACTTGATAGGCTATATGCTGCAGAACAGAAACTTTACAAAGAAGTGAAGGTGTAACCCTTTGCTAAACTATTACTTGGCTTTAGTAATATGACTACATGAATAGTTGGAAACTTGGAAAGTTTTCTGTATGTAAAAATATCTACTCTTTTAGTAGAATTTGTGTTACAAAAGTTTTTTTATATGTGGAAAATATTCTGTTCCATATTCTCTCCTGGACAGGGCTTTGTGTTCTTATGGATAACTATTGATACCTGTAGGAGGAAGAAATTGCTAAATTAGAGCATGAAAGGAAATCAAAGTTGCTGCAAAAGCAAGAAGAGGAAAACCATGACTGGACCAAGACTGAGAAAACACGGTCAAGTGTTGAGAGTTTGGAGATGGACATAAGTCGACTGCAACAATCAATAAGTAGCACCTGTTCAACTATATTGGAGCTCATTGATCAGGAGCTTTACCCGCAGCTAATCATGTTAATTTCTGGGTAAGGATTTTTAAAGATGTATGCTGTATGAATAGATAGCATGGCTTGTGCTGCAATTGTTATTTGCTTGAATCCTTTGACAGGTTGATGCAAATGTGGGGAACAATGTATGAATGTCATCGATCTCAAAACCATATTGCTGAGAAGTTGCATAATCTTTCTGATAATCAAGATATGGATCTGAGTACTGAATTCCATCGTCAGGCCACAGCTCAGCTTGAAGCCGAGATTGTTTGCTGGTACAACAGCTTCTGCAGACTGGTAAAATCTCAGCAAGTGTATGCAACAACACTCCGCAGGTGGATCCAACTAACTGACGGCCTCGTGGATAACCAGCAACAGAATGGTTGCTCATCTGCAGTTCGCAGGCTCTGTGAAGAATGGCAAACTGCCTCTGAAAGATTACCTGATAAGGTATTTATTGCTGTGATCTTCATATGACTGCCAGTTTTCCTAGTTTACTAATGATCTCAGATTTCAGCCAGTGGTATTTGTATTATGGAACTAGTAGTACAGCTGCAAAAATGGCTCACTGGGGAAATCATCTTATTTATTATGTTGTGTGCTGCTTACAGGTAGCCTCAGAAGCCATCAAGAGTTTTCTGTTAGCCATACAATCAATAATCCAGCAGCAGGCTGAGGAGCTCAGCCAGCAAAAGAAATCTGATAAACTTGAGAAAAGGTTGCAAAAGGAGCTAGCTGAGTTACAAAGAAAGGCAGAGGGAAGCTTAGCTGTTGACGATTTGAACCCCAATTTAAGTCCAAAACATCCTTTGTCACAGAAGTGCGTCAAAACTGAGGCCTTAAAGAAGCAAGTCGATGCAGAGAAGGCCAAATATGTAGACTCCATACAGGTTAGCAAGACCATGACTCTAAACAACCTAAAAACAAGCCTTCCCAATGTATTCCAGGCATTAATGGGGTTCTCCAGTGCTTCTGCTGAAGCCTTTGAAGCAATTCAAGGCCATGTCAAGCCAGAACTTAATTGTAGTGTGTCAGAGGACTCAGCATGCTAAATCTGCTTGAATTGCCAGAGATTATCTGGGTTCACTGATGCCACAACGAGTATAATGACGACAGAGAAAGATGGATAGCCAATAGCCGGTGTCACTGAGTATGATGATTAACGGAATGTTGCTTTCACTATGTTGCATTTTGGTTATACAAAAGAAATGTGGTGGTATGAGGTCAATTTAATCATTGATGTAGTGAATAGAACATGGTAAAGTGGAAAATGAAAATTCTTCTAGCATTAACCATGAGTCTGTTTTAAGTATCATTGCAAAATCTATTACTAAGAATCAAAGCTTGAGAAAACCATACTTCTGAGCTTGTGCACAAAATGTCTGATAACACCTAATACCTTTCTAATCATATAACGAAAGACTGGTACAGTCAACTGTGCATGTTGACACTTTCAGTTGCCTACTGTCTTCTACATTTCATGAACTTACACTTTAAGCCTGCTACGTTGGGGCAACCTGCTCGTCACAGCAAGCCATGGAAACCATGACATGTCTATTACTGATCAGGAAGAGCAGACCCATATTTATTCTTAAGTTAGCATATGCATAATATATGCAGGCAATCCATGGAACATATGGAATGCTCTATGGATGGGAAGAAGTTCAGGCCTTTTCTAGTAGTGTTCTACATACCCACATGTTTGCAGGAAGAAAGAAAGGAGGAATTGTCAAAATAAGAATCCATTTGAAGGCTCACCTGGCCAGCATCAAGCACAGGAATCCGGTCACAGTCCATGATTGTATTTAATCTGTGAGCAATTACTAGCATGGTGCATGATTTGAATTCTTCCCTAACAGTTTTCTGGATAAGAGCATCAGTTCCAACGTCAACAGCTGCAGTTGCTTCATCTAGAACAAGAATCTTTGATCTCCGCAGTAATGCTCGAGCAAGACTTAGTAGTTGTCTCTGCCCAATACTAAAATTGTCCCCACCCTCAAAAACCTTGTCATGAAATCAAATGAAAATAAATAGTCAACAGTGTCATTATTTTCCTTCTTAATTTTGAATATTATGTTAATATATGTCAATTAGCCAGGTTAGCATATCAATCCTTGATTCAAAAATTTGAAGTATATGTTTAGTACCAGAGCATTTAAACCAAGAGGATTCTTCCTGATGATATCCTTTAAATGTACCCTCTCCAAAGCCTCCCACATGTCAGCATCATTGTGCTCATAAATGGATCAAGATTAAATCGCACGGTTCCTAAACACGATAAAGACAATCAAAATGAGATAGTTTATAATTAGAAGTCTTCAACCATCAAAAGGAGACCATTGTAATATGCATTCTAGATGAGCAGGAAATGGAAATAAAACAATGATTATGAGTTATGACAACTTATCTAGAATGTCTGATATGGTACCTGAGAAAAGAACAGGTGATTGTGGTATGATGCTGAGGGCCTCTCGCAGATCTTTTAGTCCAAATTTAGCAAGATCATAACCATCAATTAATATTCTTCCTTTTTCCATCTCAACAATACGAAATAATGCATTTAGCATGCTTGATTTCCCTGCACCAGTTCTTCCCACAATCCCTATCTTCTCACTTGGAGAAACAGTGAAGGATAATCCATGCGATACTGGAGGAGGTTCAGGCGTATAACGTAGGATAACATCCTCAAACTTAATTGATCCTGATGAAGGCCACCCAGGTGGTGGTCGATTGCTCTCAATTACATCTGGAGCCTCTGAAGATAGATCAATGTATGCGCTCACACGCTCTACACCATTCAAGCTATTCTCAGCTAAACTTCCCTGTCTTCGAGCACCACCCAAAAGATTCTTGATATTTAAAGTATAACTGAGGAGTAGACCCATTGTTGCTGCAAATGCTGCCTGGTTTTCTGCTCTTCCATTCTGCATAACTGCAAAAGTAGCTGTCAGCCAAATCATGATGCCCCCTAATGTTTCTAACCTTATATTGAACCAATGATTTGCACTGGTATTTGCAAGAGTGAATCTTATGTTATTATCCATGAACTTCCCGTTAATGTTGGCCATCCTGTCATATGCTTTGTATGCACTGATGGTGGATAAACCGTTTAGTGCTTCTCCAAATTGTGCATAAACAGGAGATCTGGTAATGGAGTCCAAGCGTTTTATTTCACGGGCTGTGCTCTGTAGTCAGCAAATAATATCAAAATTTTGGGCAGGAAAAAGCTGTAGCAGATGTGTGTCACAATCAAGCAATAGTGGTTAAGATGGTGTTTCATGCCTAAGGCTTCAAACAGTAAAATACCTGATAATATAGATAGGATGTGTAAAACAAGATAAGAAGTGGCAGTTTGGCCCATAATGAAATTGTGCTCACAATGCCTCTCAGGGAAAAAGTTGAAAGAAGCTGCCAGATTAGACTGAGGAACATATTCATAAAGTTGGCAACTTTGTGATCTATACATCCTATATCCCTCGAAAACCTATTTATCACACGTCCTGTTGGATTGGTATGAAAGGAATAGCATTGGAGCTCTTAGGATTGAATTTAGCATGGCATCATGCAACCTTCTGGCTGCACAAAGACTTGAAGAGATCAACAAAAAGGAGTTTGTCAATGTCACTGTCACCTGAATCCAGAAGATATGAGCAAGTCAGACCATCTGCAATTATGTAAAGTCTCTTTCTTGTTTTTCATCTTATTTTTAATACCTTTTCTACTACTAATACTAGGAACAAAAAATTGCATTTGAAGGAAGGAGGATACATAAAGAGATTGATTTACTGCAACTTCTCCCCACATGTTATACTAGCAGTGTAGAGTATTACAAACAAATCATCTGGCATTTGTTTTATGATCTTCCTGTAAAGATACTTCTCAGCATCTATTGGAACTATCTATTTTCTTTTAAATTATATTTATTCTAACAAAAAAGGAAGATACTTGTTCAAAGGTAGTACAGGAATAGAATACAAGATAGGATGCATGGTTTAGTTAAATAAGTATCACACGAAACTGTCTATGAACTGCAAACAAACCTGTCCAAACACTAGTAGCGTATAAATGAGAATGTAGTGTCCAGGTCTGTAATTCTTTGAAGTACTTTGATCTGTCCAGACCCTTAACCAGGTGCTACCTAAAATTTGAAGAACTTCAGTTGATAAACAGCATGTAAAGACTATCATCACTGCCCACAGGCCTCCTAGTGCATCTTTGTACCTGCCAATAGAGACTGAATTAACACATAATTTCATAATGTTCTATTTAAGGATATTTTTAAATCTAAAAGAAAAATAATCCATAATCCATCAGAGTTTAGATTTCCTCCAAAAACCAGAAGAATAAATAGTAACAATCATTATTTGGAAGAAAAAAGAAAACTGTATGACAAGTAACCATAAGTACTATTGTTAAAATGATATTCTACATTACCTAACCAGAACATTCCAGCTGATAACACCTGTTTCCCTTTCTTCCGGCTTGATAAGCATAGATTTGCACCCTTTCCCCCCTTTTGATGGGTGATCATTCATCTCAGCAACCCCATTTGCAGCTTCTTTTTTGATTTTCTCATCTAAGTTATTCTCTTCACTTTTTTTTTTCCTTCTATTTTCCCTGCATTTTCCATCATATTCTGAAATAGCTTGCCATTTTCCATAAGCTCCTCAAAAGTTCCCTCTTCTTTAATCATACCTTCAGAGACCAAAATTAATTGGTCCACTTGGGGAAGAAAATGCAGCTGGTTTGTAACAAGTATTCGGGTTTTTCCTTGCAGCTCTTCCTTGATACATTTGCTGAAAACCTGGCACAGGAAGAAATCCATCAAGACCATGCAACACATTTACCAGGATCACATCAGATTTACTGAGAACCATGATGTTGATCAGAGTAATCCATGATCTTTCACTGCCTAGCATGAACTAGTACCTGATGTCTGATGTGTGCATCCAGAGCACTTAAAGGGTCATCAAATATGTAGACATCTGAATTGGAATAGACAGCTCTTGCCATGGAAACTCTCTGCTTCTGCCCACCACTAATATTCACTCCTCTTTCACCAATCTCTGTGAGATCATGACCCTGAGGGATTAAGTATCAGTCTAGAAGACATTCCACATCAAAGCATAATTAGTTATAAACATATAAGCCATTAAATTCTTGATTTGCTTACAGGCAGTAAGTCAAGATCATGCTGTAATTCAGTAACATCTATTGTCTTCCAATATCTTTCCTGGTCAAATCCAGATCCAAATAATATATTGTCACGTACCTGTGAGAATAAAAGTGAAGGCCAATAAGCATGAATGTTAATATGAAAATTTTCAAGTGCAAAGGAGATTAGAACCTGTGGATACTGAGAAAGCACTATTCCAGAGCCCTAAAAGGCTATAAGTTAGAGTAGCATTGAAAATCCATGAAACTTGAGGAACATATGCTACTGTTCCTCTAATAACAACACTTGGAGTGGCAACAGGAGGCAGCTCCCCTTGCATTGCCAATATAAGAGATGTTTTCCCTTCTCCAGTTCCACCAATAATGGCAACAAAGCTGCCAACTGGCACATCCAAATTGATTTTTGATAATGTAGGCTTCTCTGCCTAGAAAAAGCATGCAATTTGAAATTTCTAGGTACTCCGAGGAAGAAGAACATTTGACTATAAAAACGCTATAAAAACATCGATGAAAATCTGACCATTCAAGAATGAAAGAATTCAACCTTTGAATCCCATGAAAAATTGCCATTCTTGATTGAGATAGCTGGAAGACCTGGTTTAAGTGGTGGATTTGGTGCTAGAGTTCTCTCTTCAGCTAAGAGTAGCTCCTCAAGACGTTTTAATGATACATTAGCATTTACAACCTGAAAAACTCAAGTATTAGATAGTAAAAACCTGTCAACCAAAAAAAGCAATTTGAAGCTGATTTATCGAAGTTTGTCAATCTTTTGAATTCCTAGATCAGTTTGATCTGTTAAATAGAGAAAACAATATACCAATAGGGAAAAAAAAAAAAAAAAAAAAAAAAGGGATTATAAAACATGTGTGGTTGTCTCAGTAGAACACAAGTATATCAGAGGTGAAATGTGCAAAACCTGACTTAATAAATTAGGAAGTGTTTTCAAAGGAAACTGTAGCATTGCAAACAAAGAAAGTGATGTAAATGCCCTAGATGATGTCAGATCTCCACCAAGCAAAGTGAATGTCCCAAATGAAACCACAGTCAAGACAACTGGTATGCTGTTCAGCATAAAACTGTTAAGCTGCAGTGGAAGGCAACTAGTTAACGTTTGAAAAGAATGCCATTCCTGAGATAGCTCTAGTGGCATCACATTTAAAACTTCCATTGAACAGTGAATAGATGTAGTAGCCATGGAAACTTTGTAAATCAACTAGCAAACCAGCATGTTTTAGCACCTTCAAAACATATAGAAGGAGCAATAATAGGTTTAAAATGTTCTAGTATCATACAGCAGATAGTAATTTTGCTTGGTGGTACCATGACAGCTCCTCATTTTGTATACTTTGTACTCAAGATTGAAAGTTCTTTTCCCATGCGTAACATCTGCAACATTTTCCAGCACAGAGCTAGTAAAATAATTGTTGATGGCATGACAATGTCTCTAGATAAAAGGGATCAGATTCAACCATACTTCACAGTGTTCATGGCAGTTAAAATTTCATTCATGAGGCTAACTCTCTTGTCAGTCCACTGCAGTCCTTCCTTGGTCATTTTTCACATTTTGCTAACAATTATGGTCTGTCCCCAGGAGACAGAAAATTGGTATGACACAATGAATAAAGTATGAAACAAAAAAATAATTTGTGTGATGTACAGTGTAGAAAACAATGGCAAAGGCAGCAGAAACCACTTATTCGTGTCATATTGTTTACAAGTCGATATCAGAAACAAAAGTCAATTAGGCAAGGACTTTTCTTACCGGTGCAGGGACCATAAGGACTAGAATTAATGCTCCAAGAAGTGAAGCAACACCAAGCTGCTGGTAAAGGAGAACCATTGACATGACAATACGAAATGGAGCTGACCATAATCCATGAAGTGGTTGGCACATTTGCTTGAAGAAGAACAGGTACAACAATCTCAGCTTATTCCAAACCCGAAAAGAAAAATGTGAAATTATATGCTTATGTTGTTCCTGTTTTTGGCTGCAGCAGAATAGCTGTTACATCTTCAATTTTGACATCATTCAACCAAGCAACAAGGACTTCAGACTAAACATCTGAAAATTATGCAATAATATGAATTGGCAAGCCAAAGTTTAATCTTTTTATTAACCCCATCTCTAAGGGTACAAGGGCAATATAAAATTCATTTGATGTTTGAAATCTCACACTGTATTTTTATGCAGCTAAATCACATAGAGATATTATAATTAAGATATCCAATAATTTAAAAGCCAACAGACTACCTTGTAGATTTATATGGGTGCAACAAATGTGATTATCTTGTAGCCACTAAGATATTAATTTCTATACTACACCATATACAATAGATTACTAGAGATGCATTCATACCTCATTTGCACTGGCATCTGTTGTGATCATGTTTGTTATCCTTCCTGAAGGGAAATTTTTGTGAGCCTCATGGGGTTAGTCTCAAAGATTTCTGAAATATAGCAGCCACCTATAACAGAACAGAAGCAGTAGAATATGAGGATGGCAGCAATCTCACATTGGCATTTATTCATTTAGCAAACCTCTAATAACTTCCATGCAGAGAAATGGGGTCCACTAGGAAGGAAAATGAGGTTGAGCCTGTTATCTGGTGAACTTTAAAAAGTTCCACGCATTTCTAGGAGTTTTTGTAAGATGGAGAAAATTTTTTACCAAGGTTGACTGCAGACGGAAACCAACACGATAAACATTCTGATAATACTGGGCTTCAGAAAGCACACCACATGACTGACACAAATTAATTAAGTGATCAATATGAGAATGACTACAGGTGAAGCCCAAGATAATCATTTCCTTAAACTGAATTCATATCATAATCCTAGATAAAGTACAGGATAGGAAAACATACCACACCAACAAAAAATAAGAAGGCATAAATATAGCCAATCCAAGCTGGGTCACCTTGTTCCATTGACTGCAGACCATAAGAAAGGAAGTGATGGACTTTTCTTCGACTAATGTAGCATGAGGCATAAAATGAAAAAACATAATATATATTCTTCATTCTCTTTACTGTACACTTGTGAATATATAAATATATTTACAGCAAACTCCAATGTTTCATAGTCATCTGGCATGATGTTTTAAATGCAATTCATGAACCTAGAATATTGTAAGCGACAAACAAATAGATAATGAATTTTTGAATGAATTGAAAAGGCAAAATAATGAAATATAAAGCTAACCTTTAAGAGATGGTTCAATAAGAGTGGCCCCACAAACAAAGAAAGGTCGAAGCCAATCTACAATGTTCAAATGAGAAATAATAAAGTGCTTGCATCCACCAATGATTTCCAGGTTCTCCAGCACAATCTATAATAGAAAAATGTCCATGCATAGGAGAATACAATCTACAATGATTGTCATCTATACAGAATATGCATGATTTTAATGTCCTTGATTTGTCAATGGTCAAATGGTATCCAATATTGAAAACTGGGTAACATTCATTACCTTGAATAGGCCTCCCAACCAAAACCTGAGACAGTTATGTAAAAAGCAGTTAATTGACTTAGAGAGAAGGCAACAAAGAGACTATATCTAGTTTGCTAAGAGATTGTTGGGAGAAGTTTAGGATAGAAAAGAAAGGAGAAAAAATAATGTAGTTTAAACATACCTTCCCCCCAGGCTATTATTCAGTGCTCTTAAAGGCCAGGGCTTCTTTCTTTGAGTTTCTTCAGCCCAAATTCTTTGGAACCTGCAAAGGTCAAAACTATTATACACATTGATCATCAGTAAAACTCTTGCAGTAGCAAGTGCAAAAGAAGCAACAGGATACAAACTTCTTCATCAGTGTTTCAGTCTGATCCCATGTGTCTAACTTCCAAACATCCTTTTCTGTGATAGGTCTTCTATAACCTTGCTGCATGAGTGGAGTAATCGAGCCAAAATATATTCCTATCAGAGGACAGTGAAACAAATTTTCAGTAGAAGACCTAGAAAAAATCTGGACTGTACCATCCCTACCACAATATTTTTTTCAACCAAGAAAAGCATAAAAAGAAAGTACATAAGTTTGGCAAACAAACAACAACAATCTAGGAGTCTAGACTTCTAGAAGAAGAAAAGAACCATTTTGCATGATATAGTAACATGTTGCCTGGGGCTCATCGACAAAATACCCAGAACTTGAGCTAGTTTTGTTTTTTAAGCTTGTGGTATCCTGTCAGCACCAAAAAAAAAAAAAAGTTGTGGTATCCTGAATGCTAGTTAGTACTACTTACTAGAGAAGATATTGGCCTGCCTCTCGGGACAAATTTGCTCGTCTACAGAATGTGCTTCATATTCAACATTGTCAGGAAACTCATTTTGCATTATAAGATAACCAGCACAAGGATTCAGATTAGGAACATGAACCAGCAGAAGGACCCCAAATAAAGCTTCCATCGTAAAAGTAAATTTGAGCTAATGTTATTTCTTCGTTAAAAATAAATATCTTGATCACAAGCTTGATACAGGACTACTTTGAATCACAAGAAGTTTTGATGGCCTCCCTCACTTAAACCCAAGCAGGCTTAGCCAAAAAAAGAAAAAAAAAAGAAAAAAAAGAGGAAGAAGAAGAAGAAGAAGAAGGAAAAGAGAGAGATTAGGGCAGGTCTTGGGACAACAAACCTCACATAAAACCATGCTGATGTACAAACATAGGACAGATCTGCATCAAATAATAATGTGATTAGTAGCTGTGTCAACATGTATAGATATCTAATCCAGAAGAATGCATGAAATCTCACAGCAAAACTCTATTACATAGGAAAAATAAGAAAATCAAAAAGGAAAAGAAAATTGTTCACACTTTTGGTGTGAGAAGAAACCAAATTAATTAATGGAGAAATCTGACCGTTTATTATACATATCCCTCACTGGAAGAACAAAATTGAGCAGTGCAGCATTCCCAACCAACACGTAAACCACTCCAAACCACACATACCAGCGGAACTCCCTGTGATAAATTTTAGTTTCCAATCCAATCATAATGACCATGGAGCACCAAGCAAGAGCTTCAATGATCAAAGAAGTTGCCTGCAAGAAAATAAGTTGTAAACCAAATATTTGTTTATCCAAGTAGCCATATGACTTGCAAAATCCAACAATCAGAAGTTATTTATTTGAAAGATAAATACCAAACTAACAACTCTTAGAATCAAGTGTACACTTTTTTTTTTTTTGGTATGGGTCATAGACAATTAATTAAAACAGTTTGAAGAGAAATCCCACCTCAAAGGGAGCAAGACGAGTCTCTCCATCCAAATTAAAGATTGAAATACCCATGATCAACCTTAAAAGAGGCTCAGCAAGACAACAACCAGCCAATAACCCCAGGATATAATTGTACCAATTTGACCTCAAACAGAACCTTTGGGCTTTGGTATTATTCTTAATCAGCCATACCCGGTATAAGCAGAGGCCCATAAGAACCAAATGAGAAATGGAAATCACCAGGGAATCGATAGCACAAGGTGTGTATGCACCAAAAGAACTATGAGCTTCTATTGCCCAGATCCCATTAGCAACTGGCTGACAAAACCAAATCAATGGCTGACAAAACCAAATCAATGGCTCAAAACCCATCTTTAATCATGACCCTGGAAAGTTCAAAACCAAAAATTAAGCCCTTTTCCCTATGAAGAAATTGCTAGGTGTATGAGAAAGTTCGATGCTTTCTCAAAGTACTTACTAAATCACTCCACAATCCACTGTTCTTCAACACAATGCACAACCTGGATTAATAAGAACAAACAAAAATCACACTTCAGAACTTCAGAGAAAGACATGGCACATATTGTAAGTCACATTATTCGAATTATGCTCAGATAAACCTGTTGGTAGAAAGTCCAATTCCATGGAATTTTCATGTGGAAGTTTTCTTCACCAACCTAGCTAGTTGTGGGCTAGAATTTGCTTTGTTGAAATCATGCAAAATTGCATAATGACCCCATTTAATGAGCAAAGAAAATCATGCACCAGTGGTAATAAGGCAAAGAAAAACTTGCTTGGGCGGTTGGGATTTTTCACTATAAATATCCATGCATGCAAAGAGTCAGAGCAAGCAAGAGAAGAGCTAAGTGAGTGGACGCCCTTGAGAGAAAACAGAAAGAGAGAAAATATGAGAAAATTATCGTGAAGAATAAGAGAGAGTAGGAAGAATTTGACAGCTTCTATATATTGAATTTAGTGAGAAAGTTTTTAAATTATGGTATTATTTTTAATAATGATGAATTTATTTCTCTTTTTCCTATGTAGTTATATTTGTTGAGAGCTGTAAAATCAACCCATATTAAATTATTGTCAAAATTCCGAACAAAACCATCACAGAAATCAGAACCCACAACTTTTCTTTTTTTTTTTTTGAACTCAGATCCTGCCTATCCAAGAAATCGATTCACATACACTAAAGGGTTTAACATGCAAATAAATTTCATATCTAATGTAAAAAGCTTTTCATTGGCTGCGCAGAATATGCTTCTTCAACTTCAAGATACAAAGCAATGTAAAACACAAACAAAAACAACAATTTACACTACCTCTGTCCCAGAAGAGTGTTGTTGCGGACCAAAGTCTCGGATTAAACCTTCAAGAAAAACATGGCCGATGATAGTAACATGAAAAGTGTCATGCATGGTTCGTTTTATGTAGTTTTCAAAGAGTTGGAAAATTAGAACCTCAGCACTGTAAAATAACGCAAAGGAAAGCAGAGAAGGTCCCAAAAGAGGGACAAAACATGAGTAGATTTGCAACTATAAAAAGCACAAAGATCCAGCGTACCTACCCCATGAAGGTCTGTCTTTTATTTTATGTAAAGAAACGATTTTTTTGAAGTCTTTTTAAGCACTAGTGTAACTAACCGTAGTGAAGGAGAGACAACGCGCGAAGAGAAGTGAAAGAGGATGATGCAGACAAGGCATTTGAATCTTTCCCTCTTTTTTTTTTTTTCTTTTTCTTAATATTTTATGTAAA